CATTGAAGCAACTTATGGCAAGAACAAATCGAATAAAATGCTGGTAAAATATGAGACTAGCAAATCCAGAATGGAAAAAATTAAAATACCAGTTAAGACCACCTGGGTTGGAGATGGGGAAATACACAAATGTTCAGGTTATATGGGCCTATTAGATGATAGTTGAGCCTTGATTTGTCTCTATAGGTGATTTAGCAGTCAGAGTTAAGGGAAACAGTTATAATTGTTATCAGAGAGGAAGAAACACTAAGATATGTACAAGATCCTACGAGAAGTTAGGAATGGGTTTCACATGACTTTCTTACCGTATTCTTCAATGAAAGCAGAGAGCATGACTTTAATATAGAGCTTAGACTGCGTGCAGTCACTCTTGTTGGTAACCCAGCTCTTTGGGAGGCCAAGGAGGGAAAATTGCTTGATGCTAGGAGTTCAAGATCAGCCTGGACAGCATAGTGAGACCTGTCTCTAAAAATTGAGTTATCCAGGCATGGTGGCACATGCCTGAAATCCCAGCTGTTCAAAAGGCAGAGGCAGGAGCATTACTTGAGCCCAAGAGTTTGAGGTTACAGAGAGTGGTGATCATACCACTGCACTCCAGCCTGGGTGACAGAATGAAACCCTGTCAAATGAAAAAACAAAAAAAGTATACATACAAAAATAGTAAGCCAGACATGATGACTCATGCCTTTAATCCCAGCACTTTGGGAGACCAAGGCAGGTGGATCCCTTGAGGCTAGGAGTTTGAGACCAGCCTGGGCAATGTAGTGAGACCCCCATCTCTACAAAAGTAAAAAATTAGTCAGGTGTGGTGGTGTGTGCCTGTAGTTCCAGCTACTTGGGAGGCTGAGGTGGGAGCGTTGCGTGAGCCTAGGAGGTCAAGGCTACAGTAAGCTATGATCATGCCACTGCACTCCAGCCTGCTTGACAGAGCAAGACCCTGTCTCAGTAATAATAATAATAACATGATGCTTAATGAAGGCATTTCTTCAAGGACTTAAGATAACATGATCCAAGTATATACCCTTCATCATCCAGCTTAATTCAAGGATTTCTACTACCTAGATACATAGATGAACCCATATCCTTCAGGTGATTTTTCAACCATCACTTCTCTCAATGAGACTTTTGTTCTGTGATGGAGTCTTGCTGTGTCACCCAGACTGCAGTGCAGTGCAGTGGTGTGATCTCGGCTCATTACAACCTCCACATTCTGGGTTCAAGCCATCCTCCTGCCTCAGCCTTCCGAGAAGCTGGGTCTACAGGCATGCACCACCATGCCTGGCTAGTTTTTGTATTTTTAGTAGAGACAGGTTTTCACCATGATGGCCAGGCTGGTAACTCCTGACCTCAGGTGTTACCCGGCCTCAACCAGGCTCTTAATAGGAATAAATAACAGACAATACTGAATTTTCTGGTAAGAGCCTGGCTGTTGTGAGTTGTTTATTGAATGGTCTTCCCCATTGAATAACTTTTTTTTTTTTTTTTTGAGACAGAGTTTTGCTCTTGTTGCCCAGGCTGGAGTGCAATGGCACTGACTCGACTCACTGCAACTTCCATCTCCTGGGTTCAAGCAAATCTCCTGCCTCAGCCTCCCAAGTAACTGGGATTACAAGCACCCACCACCACGCCCAGCTAATTTTTGTGTTTTTAGTAGAGACAGCATTTCACCATGTTGGCCAGGCTGGTCTCGAACTCTTGACCTCAGGTGATCTGCCAGCCTTGGTCTCTCGCTGGGATTACAGGCATAAGCCACTGCGCCCAGCCTGAACAACTTTTAAGAATGATTCTTTCTTTTTATTTCCATAGTGCCTGCCACATAGTATTACTCAGTAACTCTTTCTTGAATGAATGGCTGTAAATAATTAGATTCTGATGTGTTTTGGGATTGATGTTTGAACTGGGTTTTATGATATTGTATCAACTATATGGAAAATAATGGAATTTCATCTAAACCAGGATTTCTTTAAAGTGGCAATACTGACATTTGAGGCCAGATAATTCTTTGTTGTGAGGGACTGTCCTCTGTACTGTAGAATGATTATTAGCACTATCTCTGGCCTCTATCCACTGGATGCCAGTAGAACCTTCAGTTGTAACAACTAAAAATGTCTCTAGACATTGTTAAAGGTCTCCTGGGGTAGGAGGCAAAATTGCCATTACTTGAGAACCGTTGATTTAGACTATGGATCCTCAGGGATAGGAAAGGGAAGGACAGCTTCAGAATTGCACTTTCTGTATTTTTATGGTTCAGTTAAATGGTGAATGTTTAATTAGTTACTAAGAGAAATAAAATTGAAGCACTGCCAATTCAAAGTGTAGCAAGGGAACAGGATGCAGGTGGTGGAAATTGAGTAAATTGGTATGACTTGGCAACTGAATAAATAGTAATACTAAAGTGATCCCAACTATTGGAGGTTTTAGAAGACTATATTGTACTTGGTTCCTTTTCTATAAGAGGCATACATAGAATATGAAATTGTTGCTTTTGGAAAATATACTTTTAAGATGATCTCAATGAAGAACTGATTTCTCCTGTAGCCTGGTTTTACTAATTTATTATAAGCCAAATGACCAAAGCTCAAGTATACTATGAAGTTAATTCTTTTAATATTTTCCCCCCAGGAACTCTCTGTAGCTCCTGCAGACATGGGATTTGATGATGTGATATAAGTAGATGTTTGTGTTTTACACAAAGGTATTCGATACTGTGCTTAGAACAGCAGCCTTCTAATGTCATTCTTAGTTGACAGGTAAACAGTATGTTATGCATATAATGAGGTCCCACAAAGACAATATGTTTTGGAACACTGCAGAGGCAATAATTTGCATAGTTACCATAATTTTATAGTTATAAATCAGTAACTGTGATATGTTTCCATTCTCTCTATTTTTGAACAAGCGTTCTGTTAAGATTATTATATTCCTTTCTTAGATATAGGGTGTTTCGGGGAGAGGGGACACATTGCTTGTTTTCTTAGTTACAAGTCTCCATGTTGAGAGGAGTTGCACCCAAGGATCTTCATCCACATGCACATCTGGTACAGATGACAAGATCCTGGACTTTAAGCCAATGATATAATGAGACAAAGCTTTTCGGGGAGGATGTAAATTGTTGTAGCCAGAGTGGCAAGAGAAACGAGCTGATAGGGAAAAAATTCTGGCCTCATCATTTTTCAGTAATAATTAAAAGCACAATATTAGAACTGCAAGGGTGAAGGTATGTGGGCTGAGGGAAAGGGATGGTTTGGGAGGGTGCTATGTTGAAGGCCCAGAAGAAGTAAACAAAGGTGGAAAATTTACTCCACATTGCCAGTGAGAGCCTGTACTCTATTCCTATAGCTTTACAACGTTGATTATGCAAGACAATGTAAAGGAGTCAAAACTGGATTTTTTCTTTTTTTTTTCGACACAGGGTCTCGCTTCGTCATCCAGGCTAGGGTGCAGTGGTGTGATCATGGCTCAGTGCAGCCTTGTTCTGGGCTCAAGTGATCCTCCTACTTCAGCTTCCTGAGTAGCTATAGGTGCATTCCAGCACCCCTGGACTCAAGATTCGACTTCAAAGATAGCATAAGCATATTGATAGTGAAATGAGGAAGGTGGTTTATTACTGTGGGAAAGCTTGAGTTTGATATAAGACAGACTTGGTTTAAAATTTATATTCTGCCACTTACTGATGTGTGAACTTGGGCAAGCTATTTAATACCAACTGGATGATCTCATAAACATTTTTGTCTTTTATATATTGTTTTGGGAGTATGTCACAAATGTATTTTTTAGAATCCTTAAACTGTCAGTGGCTACCTCTATTGTGAAAGGAGGTTGACCTAGAATTTTCTCTGAGTGCCCCTGTAATGTTAGAGGTCTGAAGCCTACTTAGTAATAATGGAAGCTTCAGCCCTTTTGTCTCTAAAGAGAATGAGCAATAGATAATGACAAATGAAAATGGCACTTTAGGTCTCTCTCTGTCGTCCTTTCTTCAATAAAAAAAAAAAAAGAAAATGGCACTTTAACTACATAGCAACATAATTTGTGTTCTTACTCTAAAAGCAATTTATGATCATTTTTAAAAATTAAGACTTTTTAAGAGCAGTTTTAGGTTCAAAGCAAAATTGAAACAAAGGTACAGAGATTTCCCAAATACCCTCTGCCCCCACACAAGCATCATCTCCTGTTATCAACATCCCCAATCAAAGTGATACATTTGTCATAACTGATGAACTTACCTCATCAATTATTACCCAAAGTCCAACTATCACCCAAATTTCTCCTCATCTTTTCATGGCTTGATAGCTCATTTCTTTTCAGCACTAAATAATGTCTATTTTCTGTATGTGTCACAGTTTATTTATTCATTTACCTATTGAAGGACATCTTGGTTGCTTCCAGGTTTGGGCAGTTGTGAATAAAGCTGCTATGAACATCCATGTGCAAGTTTTTGTGTAGACAAGTTTTCAACTCCTTTGGGTAGATACCAAGGAGTATAATTGCTAAATCATATGGTAAGAGGATATTTGGTTTTGTAAGAAACTGCCAGACTCTTCCAAAGTGGCTGTACCCTTTTGCATTCCTACCAGCGATGCATGACAGTTTCTGCCCCACATCCTCACCAGCATTTGGTTTTGCCAGTGTTCTGAATTTGGCTATTTTAATAAGTGTATAGTGGTCACATGCGTTTAGAATGAAACAGAAAACATCAGATTGGCTTTGATATTCTGCAAGATAGAAATTCCATTCTGAATAACTGACTTACTGTTTATGCTTCAATCTTTTTTTTTTTTTTTTTTTTTTTGAGATGGAGTCTCACTCTGTCGCCCAGGTTGGAATGCCAATGGTGTGATCTCAGCTCACCGCAGCCTCTGCCTCCAGATTCAAACGATTTTCATGCCTCAGCCTCCTGAGTAGCTGGGATTACAGGTGCACACCACCACGCCCAGCTAATTTTTGTATTTTTTAGTAGAGACGGGTTTCGCCATGTTGGCCGGGCTGGTCGTGAACTCCTGACCTCAGGTAATCAACCCACTTCAGCCTCCCAAAGTGGTGGGATTACAGGTGTGAGCCACCGCACCCAGCCTATGCTTGAATCTTTTATTAGTTGGAGCTGTTAATAACTTCACCAGGTCAGACAGGTTTGAGTGATAAGTTTGCTGATAGGTTTGATTGCTGCTTCTGAGACCCAGACTCAAAATCTACGTTTAGCTACATTAAGAAGGCAACCACTACAGATAAGTGTCCAATCCTGAGATCTCTTAAAACAATGATGGAATCCAAGCCTGTTAGGAAAATCCTTTTGCTAGAAATAGAATCTCCGGTCTCTTTCATCCTGGTCATTAGGCCTTGGCTAAAAGGACGACATTTAACATTTATTGTATGCCAGACTGTGCTAGGCCATTCCATATAATGTTATCTTATTTAATCCTCATAATTTCTCTGAAATATTTTGTATTGTCCCTATTTATAATCCAAGTTGAGTTTTTTAACCTTCCCAGACTTTATATCTGCTACCCGTCCAACTAGAATAGTGTTATGCCTCCTTTTTGTATAATGGATGCCTACTTATTCCTCAGAGCTCCTCTCAGATGTTACTGTTTTAAAGAAGCCTTCCCAGTCCCCTGGGCATATTTCCCTATTACACTATCAAAGTCTTGATTCCCTATTACACTGCACTGATCAAAGTGCACTGACCTCAATAGCACAATTAACTACGTGATTAGTCATTTAATAGCTGTCATTTCTGCTGAGGTGTAAGCTTCATGAGCACATAAATGTGCCTGTGTCATTTTTCTATATTACTTGCAGTGCCATGTATAGTTCCTTGTTTGGTAAATAATTATTGTATGGTTATGGCAAATAAATTCCATAAACAGAAGTTGAATGCTGGTCCACTGTCACTTTAAAATCTTCCTTTAAATTATACAATATATAGGACCTAAGAAGGAAGCATTTCTTAATGAAATTACCCCAGAGGCTCTTCCTGAACCCTATTTCAGTTCTAGATTGGCTAATGATAAAAGTTATTCATTAATCTTACGTGGTTAGGGTGTGATCTGAGATAAAGAACTTGAAGTCTTTTAAGTAGATAATCCTTTCAGAGAAGTCTCATCTTTCTGTGGAGTTGTGTTTGAAGAAAGCTAGTGGGAAAAGTTCCAGGACTACATGTCCCATCAGGAAACTACAAGAGGTAGAAACATTTGTTGATTTACTAGTGTTTTTAACTTCGTGCTGGGCTGAAAACAGCTTTTGTGGAAAAGCAAAACTTGGCAGCAAACATCTAAAATGAAGAGCCCCCAAACTTTTGAGGAACAAACAGAATGCATTGTGAACACTCTACTCATGGACTTCTTGAGCCCAACATTGCAGGTTGCCAACCGGGACCTAGGCTGTGAAGATGAAGTAGATTCAGGTAAGGCTCCTGGCTAGAGGTGGTGATTGCAGGTCAATAAGAGTATGGTTTTTGTTGGGTGTGGTGGCTGACTCCTATAATCCCAGCACTTTGGGAGGCCAAGGTGGGTGGATCACCTTAGGTCAGGAGTTCAAGACCAGCCTGGTCAACATGGTGAAACCCCATCTCTACTAAAAATACAAAAATTAGCTGGGTGTGGTGGCTCACACCTGTTGTCCCAGCTACATGGGAGACTGAGGCACAAGAATTGCTTGAACTTGGGAGGCAGAGGTTGCAGTGAGCTGAGATCACTGCACTGCACTCCAGCCTGGGCAACAGAGTGAGACTTGGTCTCAAAAAAAAAAGTATGTTTTATTTCCTTTAAGTTTCTAACTCTAAGCTTTCAGCAACACCTGAAGTGAAAGAGATTCTCAATGAAGGGAAACTTTCTGACTATTGGTGTTGACAGAACATTTAAGTTCTTGGGAGATAATTATGTGAAAAATATTTAAAACACAAGATAACTTTTTCTCATTGCCCAGATTGCTGGGACTTGCCTTTGCTTCATGGATTGTAACAAATGTGTTCCCTCTGTCATAGGAGAGTCGTGCTCTTTTGATGTAGAAATCATCGCTGGTCGCCTTCGGATGTTGGGTGACCAGTTCAACGGAGAATTAGAAGCTTCTGCCAAAAGTGTCCTTGCAGAAATCATTCAGGGACAGGTGAAGTTTCTACTTCGTGCTATTGTTGATGCTTTTTTTTCTATTTTAAACTTCCTTTTCTTACAACTCCCACACTATGGTGACTAGGAATGTTCTGTGCAAGTATTTAGGGGCATATATTCCAAGGAGGTATAGCAAGAATTCTCCACTTACTAAAACCTAAGTTGTACAGAGATGGAAAACTTTTGGCATAGGCTGACGAACCTTCTACTTGGTCTTCATCAGAGCTGTGCTTAGTGTGTGTAGAGCACATTTATAGTACTCTATTCTTGGCAAAGTATAATATATATATATTTTTTTGACACAGGGTCTTACTCTGTCACCCAGGCTGGAGTGCAGTGGTGTGATCTCAACTCATTGCAGCCTCCACCTTCTGGGCTCAAGCAAGCCTTCTACCTCAGCCTCCTGAGTAGCTGGGACTTCAGGCAAGTGCCACCATGCCCGTCTAATTTTTTTAAAATTTATTTTTAGTAGAGATGGGGTTTTGCCATGTTGCCTGGACTGGTCTTGAACTCCTGAGCTCAGGTGATCCACCCGCCCCCGTCCTTCAAAGTGCTAGGATTACAGGTGTGAGCTACCACACCCAGCCTATGCATATTTTGATAGTTATTTTGTTGGGGTGGGCATCTTTTCCTCTCAGGGTCCAGCAGTGAAGTATATACAGGAATGATAGGCAGTTTACAAGTCTGATGCAATGAGGGATAAGCCCTACAGCAGCCCACTGGCTTTTCATCAAAATGCTGATTACTGGCAGTACCACTTGGACTCTGTATTAGATTTAAAGTCTAGGAGAGGTCGCTGATTTATGTCAACAATGACAGCTAATATTAACTTATCACTTACCATGTGCTATTATTATCTCATTTAATCATTATGCCCCTGTATTAATTATCATGGAAGCAATTATTGGTACAGCAACCTCTCCCTACCTGCATATAACACCACAAGAGCAAACATCTAACCTGTTTTGTTCACTGACATATTCACACAACCTATAACAGTGCCTTACGTATAATAAGTCCTCAATAAGAATTTCTGTTTTTTTTTTTTTTTGAGACCGAGTCTCACTGCAACCTCCACCACACGAATTCAAGTGATTTTCCTGCCTCAGCCTCTGAGTAGCTGGGATTACAGGCACCTGCTACCATGCACAGCTAATTTTTGTATTTTTAGTAGAAACACGGTTTCACCATGTTGCCCAGGCTGGTCTTGAACTCTTGACCTCAGGTGATCTACCCGCCTCAGACTTTTTTTCTCATTAAACAGATTTTTTTGGTTGGGTGCCAGGGCTGATGCCTCCCAAAGTGTTGGGATTACTGGTGTGAGCCACCACACCTGGCCCATCTGGGTGGACCATTTGAGGTCAGGAGTTCGAGACCAGCCTGGCCAACATGGTGAAACCCCATCTCTATTAAAAATACAAAAAGTAGCTGGGCGGATCACTTGAGGTCAGGAGTTTAACACCAGCCTGGCCAACATGGAGAATCCTGTCTCTACTAAAAATACAAAAATTAGCTGAGTGTGGTGGTACATGCCTGTAATCCCAGCTACTAGGGAGGCTGAAGCAGGAGAATCACCTGACCCTTGGAGGGTGGAGGTTGCAGTGAGCTGAAATTGTGCCACTGCGCTCCAGCCTGGGCGACAGAGTGAGACTCTGTCTCATAAAAAAGAACCACACTCTTACCATTATGCTTTATTCTTCCTGCTGTACACAGTTTGGGCAGTATGCCTACACTACATTCAGGCAGAAGTGGACCTGTTATTCCCAGTTGCTTGCCATGAGGCTATCCTAGGTAGTTGATAGCTGAGTTGACTTTTTTTCTTATTAAACAGATTTTTTTTGGCTGGTTGCCATGGATCATGCCTGTAATCCCAGCACTTTGGGAGGCTGAGGCAGGTGGATCACTAAGGTCAGGAGTTCAAGACCAGCCTGGCCAGCATGGTGAAACCCTGTCTCTACAAAAATTAGCCAGGCATGGTGGTGCGCACCTATAATCCCAGCTACTCGGGAGGCTGAGTCAGGAGAATTGCTTGAACTTGGGAGGCAGAGGGAGGTTGCAGTGAACTGAGATCTCGCCACTGTACTCCACTGAGTGACAGAGCAAGACCTTCTCTCTAAATAAATAATACAAATACAAATAGAAAAATTAGCCGGGCGTGGTGGCACACAACTGTGATCCTACCTACTCCAGGAGGCTGAGACATGAGAGTTGCTTGAACCCAGGAGGCGGAAGTTGCAGTGAGCCAAGATGGTGCCATTGCACTCTAACCTTAAAAAAATATTTTTTGAAATAGCCCTAAACTCAGGAAAAAGTTGCAAGGTTACAAATAATTTCTGTCTTGAATCATTTGACAGTGAGGAGTTGACATGATGTTTCATCAGCCCCTAATACTTCTATACTTCCTTCAAACAAGGACATTCTCTAATGTAACCAAATCTAACAATCAAACTCAGGAAATTTCATTGATTCATTATCATCTAATCCTTAGATCTCATTCAAGTTTTGCCATTTGTCCCGATAATGTAATTTATAGTAAAAAGTTGTAGGCCAGGGTCACAGATTGCATTTAGTTGTCATGTCTCTTTAGTTTCCTTCAATCTGGAATTTTTCCTCAGTCTTTCCTTGATTTTCATGACCTTGACACTTGGTCTATCTTGTTGAATGTCCCTTAACTTGTGTTTGTTTAATGCTTCTTCTTGAATAAATTCAGGATATGTACCTTTGGTAGGAATATCACAGAAGTAGTGCTGTGTTCTCAGTGCATTGCATCAATTGGCACAAGATTTCATTTTGTTCCAGTACTGATGTTAACTTTAGTTATTAAGATGGTGTCTGTAAGGCTTCTCCACTATAAAGTTACTCTTTTCTCCTTTGTAATTAATAAGTGTTTTATAGAAAGGTACTTTGAAACTATGTAAATATTCCATATCTCATCAAAATTTCAATGCATTCATTTCTTATCATCATTGGACCCATGAATTCTTACTTTATTCAGTGGATTATAATCTGTTACATCAGTATTTATTTAGATGCTCAAATCATCCAAGTTTTAACTAGTTGGAGTCCTTTCACTCTGGACTGCATCTCTTCGATGTGTCTCTATTATTATTTGAGTATTCCTTAATTTCTAGCAGATCTTATACTTGCCTAGCCCCAAACTGAAATAAACCATTCTCTAGAAAGCTCTGGTTTCTTTTAATGGAGAATGATATTTAGAAATCAAGATCTAGGTGCCTTCCCACATGGATGTCCTTTTTAGCTTGTTTGGGTTCTTATATTCAGCTGTGACTACCCTTGGCCTCCCTAAATCCCCACAGATCTTGCTTTGACCTACCTAATGGCTTTTGGATCCTATTTTTGAAAAGGAAAGAGGAAAAGAAAGAGCTACTCAATTATTTTAAATTAATTATTAGTTTTTTATTTTATTTTTATTTTTTGAGACAGAGTCTCGCTCTGTCGCCAGGCACCAGGGTAGAGTGCAGTGGTGCGATCTCAGCTCACTGCAACCTCGGCCTCCCGGGTTCAAGCAATTCTCCTCTCTCAGCCTCCCGAGTAGCTGGGACTACAGGCGCGTGCCACCATGCCCAGCTAATTTTTGTATTTTTTAAATAGAGATGGGGTTTCACCATGTTGGCCAGGATGGTCTTGATCTCTTGACCTTGTGATCCGCCCGCCTCGGCCTCCCAAAATGCTGGGATTACAGGCATGAGCCACCACTCCCGGCCGTTTTTTATTTTTAATTATTATTATTTTTGAGACAATCTTGCACTGTCACCTAGACTGGAGTGCAGTGTTACAATCATAGCTCACTGCAGCCTCAATCTCCTAGGCTCAGGTGATCCTCCCACCTCAGTCTCCTAAGTATATGGAACTGTAGACATGTACCACTCTGCCTAGCTACCTTTTAAAATTTTTCATAGAGACAGGGTCTCACTATGTTGCCCAGACTGGTCTTGAGCTCCTGACCTCATGTGATCCTCCCATTTTTGCCTCCCAAAGGGTTGGGATTACAGGTGTGAACCACTGCACCTGGCCTTTCTTTTTTTTTTTTTTTTTTGAGAAGGTGTCTCGCACTGTCACCCTGGCTGGAGTGCAGTGGCATGATCTTGGCTCACTGCAACCTCTGCCTTCCAGGTTCAAGTGATTCTCCTGCCTCAGCCTTCCAAGTAGCTGGGATTACAGGCCTGTACCACCACACTCAGTTAATTTTTTGTATTTTTAGTAGAGATAGGGTTTTGCTGCGTTGGCCAGGCTGGTCTTGAACTCCTGACGTCAGGTGATGTGCCTGCGTCAGCCTCCCAGAATGCTGGGATTACAGAGTGAACACCGCACCCAGCCTTTTTTTTTTTTTTTTTTTTTAGCTTTAGAGTTTCCCTTTCAAATTGTTTTTTATTCATTTTGTTTAACCTAAGCAAAGACCTGAAATCATGGGTTTGATGAACTACTTATGTATTTTCTTTTTTTTTTTTCTTTTACTTGCAGCCCCTGCTGTTGCACTACTGATGTATTTTTCAAATGCCCATTAAGATGACAAAATATTAAAACAAGAAAAGATTATCCATCTACCCTCTCAGATTTCCTTAGATACCACCAATGGCACATTTGGCACTCTTTTAGAAACAATCGCTTTACTGGATTCCTGCGCCTGCAGCCTCCTGCACTTTTTGAGTGATACTCTATTGATACTTCCTTTGTCTTTCCTCAGGCAGGAGCTATGCTTCAGAGTACGGTGGAATCTGTCAGCAGGACCTGGTGTGGCTCAGATTCCAGCTTAGTTTATGAGAGAGCCTTTCTGGCAGTGTCAGTGAAACTTCTTGAGTGTGTGGCTCACATGGCTCCTGAAGTGGTGAGACAGGTGGCTAACTCCATGATGGGTATGATCAATGGGAACAGAGCCATCCGGGAGTTCATCCAGGGCCAGGGAGGTTGGGTAAGTATGTCGGGGCTCCTGGTTTTGCTAGGTATTTGCACTGTTTTTGTACTAATACCTGGGATTCCAATTCATGACCCTTTTTGTAAATTGGAAAACAACAGGAAAACAGGCTTCCCTACTTTGCAAAAATGCCTGGATTTTCTTGCTATGAAATAGTGTGCAGCAGACAGAAGCTCAGCCTGTGGGAGGGAGCTGGACTCCAGAGTCATGCTACCTAAAATATTGCCTGCTGACTACTGTAAAGCTAATCTTCATTTCCTACACATAATCATCTGTAAAGTATATTCGTGGTAGAGTTCTAATTTCAGCCTGGCTTCACTCTCTTCTCTGGTAAATTTCTGGGTCTTTTTTTTCCGTAACATCTTTATGTGTATGTTAAGGAAGTCAGAATCACCTTAATAGTATCTAAGAAAAAACAGTCGGCCAGGTGCCATGGCTCATGCCTATAATCCCAGCACTTTAGGAGGCTGAGACAGGCAGATCACAAGGTCAGGAGTTCGAGACCAGCCTGACCAACATGCTGAAACCCTGTCTTTACTAAAAATACAAAAATAAGCTGGATGTGGTGGTGCATGCATATAATCCTAGCTACTCAGGAGGCTGAGGCAGGAGAATTGTTTGAACCCAGGAGGCAGAGGTTGCAATGAGCTGAGATCGTGCCACTGCACTCCAGCCTGGGTGACAGAGCAAGAATCTGTCTCAGGAAAAAGAAAAAAAGTAAAAACAGTCTTTGCTGTAGTGGTGACTGTAGAAGGTATTCTAAGCCCATGTTTTAGTAATCGTTAGAACTTCTGCTGTCATAGAGCACTCCTTTCCATTTCCAGGGTCAGTGAAAATCTTAATAAGAGCTACATTTCCTAGAGGTATCTGCAGATCATTTTCTGGTTTCTTAGGAAGTTCCTGAAAGCCAGTCCTTTGACTATATGATTTTCATTGTCTTTCCTAGGAAAATCTGGAGAGGTGAAGAGGTGGAGCTATTCACCGGCCTGAACATCACTTCCTTGTTTACTGATTGATTCCTGGCCATTCAAACAAACAAATGAACAAACAAACAAAAAAACCCACTTTTTTCATTTTATCAGAACTGAACTTGGCTGAATAAATTATTTTTTACTGATTGTAAAAGTTGGGAGCAGCTGCCAGAGGCCTACAGAGTTGTTTTTTTTTTTTTTTTTTTTTTTTTGGTTTTGTTTTGTCAACTTAACACAAACCACAGACAGAGATTTTTTACTTTCTGTTTTCACATGAGTTTTAATGAGGTTCTGTTGAAGCAAATACCTCCAGACACGAAGAAATGACTTGTTAGTAGTGGAATTACAAGCAACAGGGCAGGCCTTTGCTGGAGATATTTTGAGAGAAAGGGAGAACAATGGAAATTATTCCTTAAGATTTAGCGCTGTCCTTTGGTAAGAATCTTGTCCACTAATTTTGCAATTTAAAGGATTTCAGGAAGCTTTTGGGTTGAAAATCTTATTTTAAGTTGAATATTTTCATTCAAAATCATACCTAAACTTCATGTTAATTTCACCTGAGAGGGACTATTTTATGCATTTTAGAGATTGGAAGGAAAAACAACAAAAAAACCAAACAGTTGTTTCTACTAGGAAGATCAAAGAAAATAAAAGTTACTGATTTTTACTGCCACAGGATGCAGGAAGTGCTGGCCCACATGTAGAACAGCAAGGCCACCCCTTAGATGAAGCTAGCTGCATAGCACAGAGTTTTAAAAGTGTGCTTCACACACCACCTGAGGACCGTATTAAATTGCTAATTCCCATTCCAGAGATTCTGATTCTGTAGGGGTAGGCTGGAGCCTAGGAACCTACCTTTTAAACAAGTTCCATAGGTGATTCTGATGTACATACAGAGTATGACAGGCATCACTTTAGAGAATGGATTGACAAATTACAGCCCACAGGTCAAAGCTGGCCTGTTGTCTTATTTTGTAAATAAAGTTTTGTTGGAATAGAGCTACAGTCACTTGTTTACATATTGTCCATGGCTGCTTTTGCGATGCAATAGCAAAGTTGAGTAGTTCTGACAGATACCATATGGCTGGTTAAGTCCAAAATATTTACTAACTGGAATATTCCGCTACTACATCCAGCTAATTTATTGTGTTTTTAATAGAGACGGGGTTTCTCCATGTTGGTCAGGCTGGTCTTGAACTCCCGACCTCAGGTAATTTGCCTGCCTCAGCCTCCTAAAGTGTTGGGATTACAGGCGTGAGCCACTGCGCCCAGCCAATTTTTTTACTTTTTAAAGTTATGCTTTGGCTGGTCACGGTGGCTCACGCCTGTAATCCCAGCACTTTGAGTGGCCAAGCTGGGTGAATCACCTGAGGTCTGGAGTTCGAGACCAGTCTGGCCAACGTGGTGAAACCCTATCTCTACTAAAATACAAAAAATTAGCCAGGCATGGTGGCACATGCCTGTAATCCCAGCTACTGAGGAGGCTGAGGCAGGAGAATCACTTGAACCTGGGAGGCGGAGGTTGCAGTGAGCTGAGATCCCGTCATTGCACTCCAGCTTGGGTGACAAAAGCGAAACTCTGTCTCAAAATAAATAAATAAATACAGTTATGCTTTTTCCTCTATTTCCAGTTAAATCACGACAGGTTAGTAATCCATCAATGAGATGTCGTGTTTCTCTTTAGTAGAAATTATATTTTTGGCAGCCAATTAAGATGCTTGTACTCCTTTGTTCCTTATATTCCTATAAACTCAAGTTGATAAGTTTTGTGGTATTTGACTTCTTAGGCAAAATCAAAATTTTTACTTTGACTGTTGCTATTCTGCTTATGAAATAAACTTTTGTCTATGCATTTGAACTAAGTTTCAGCAAGTTCAATCTAAATTGAATAATTCCAACTCCCAGTTTTATCCTATGTTGCTCATAAAACAGTTCCAAGTATACTTCATTATCTTGAGATTTGAAGATACGTTGCCCATGGGGATTATAGAAGGCAAATGGGTTAAGCCGCTCTGGCCTCGTTGTTGTGTATTTTAGGAGACTATCTTAGGGGAGCTTAAGTGATTGGGCTGCAGGAACAAGACATCGCAACCCAGGAATTAAAAATGGATTCAGATTGTCTGATTTTAACAATTTAGTTTCACCATAAACTAATTATGTGACATTGGGCAAGTGACCTAATTCCTCTGTACCTTAGTTTCTACATTTGTAAAATAGAGATGATTTGGTAACATAATAAGATTTTTGTGAGAGATAAATAAAACAATACACTTTGTAAAGGGCCAGCGCCTGGAATATTTTAAGCAATTTGGAACTCTATGTTGCAGAGTTCATAAGGTTCTAGCTTGTTTTTTTTCTCTTCATTAAACCTTTCTCTCGCAGATTCAAACCACTCTTAATGGCTTTACCTTTCACATCAATGTGAGTGATTCCTAAATATGATTTACTTCCCTTCTTCTCGAATCCATACCCACAGATGCTTATTATTTATTTATGTGTACCTTTCTTAACCGTACTCGCCCGGTTTGCCATATAACTAGCTCAAAACCTTAGTCATTTTTACCTTGTTGCTCTCTCCCCAGTCCAACTCACCCAAACTAGTCTTTCTCATTTCCTTTTTGTCCTGATTCTTCTACCAGATTTATTAGCAACTGCCTAGACTATTAATAAAGCCTTCTAGCTGGGCTTTCGATTGTTCTGTTTCTGCCCCATTTCAGTCTGTCCTATATACTGCCATCAGATTGATCAAAGCTGTGGTTTGTCTACTGTTTTAATTCATTTTTAGATATGGCATAATTCATTTTTAAATTATATATCATACCAATGAAGATTACAAGACTTAAACATTTTATCAGAAGGGGGCATTTATATTTTTAATCAAGAAATACTTTCCAGAAGCATTGCTTTGAATGCCATTCTCTTAAAATTCTTCAGTGGAACTTTTGAGGGTAATTACATATGTTCATTATCTTGATTTGGTGATTTCATGGGTGATGATTTCACACCAACTTATCAAACTGTATACTTAATTGAGATGTGTAGTTTATTGTACGTCAGTACTACCTCAATAAGGTTGTTTAAAAAAAAAACCTTCAGCAGCTCCCTACTGTTCATCAAATAAAGCCTGACTTTCAGTCTGATATTCAAATTCCCCCAGGATCTGGCCCTAACTGTCCTATATAGCCTTAATCAACCATGATTCTCCTCTACAACCCCAATGCTCTAGTAAAACTGAGCCGCTCACTAAAGCTGCCCCTCTTCCTACTATTCTCAGTGTTTCGTATTGCTTTTTCTGAGGCTCTACCTATAGACATCTTCAAGACCCAACCGAATTGCCACTTTTTCCATGAAGGTCTTGAAGAACAAGAAGTGGTCTTTGCCTCCTTGAACTTTTGTTTGCACCACTTTTATGTTTCTTATCAAAAAAAATGGCCTTAACTTGTAGTTATCTGTATAGTTATGTTCCCCACTAGAATAAAGGATCGTTGAATGATACAATTTGTTCTATACTTCTGTAGCACCCATCCTCTTCATTCTCTGACATGTATATCGATATTCAAAATATTCATTAAATGAATGAATAAATTGTTGACTCAGATGAGACTTCTAGTTTGATTATATATGAACAGGATGCTAAGCTTGAAGAATCCTGATGCTCTTTATTTAAAAAAAAAAAAATGCTTCGGGCTTGGCGTGGTGGTTCACGCCTGTAATCCCAGCATTTTTGGGAGGCTGAGGTGGGTGGATCACCTGAGGTCAGGAGTTCGAGACCAGCTTGGCCAACATGGTGAAACTCCATTTCTACTAATACAAAAATTAGCTGGGCGTTGTGGCACACACCTGTCATCCCAGCTACTCAGGAGCCTGAGGCAGGAGAATCGCTTGAACTCACGAGGCAGAGGTCACAGTGAGCCAGATAGCGCCATTTTACACCAGTCTGGGTAACAACAGCAAAACTCTGTCTCCAGAAAAAAAAAAAGAAAGAAAAAAATGCTTCAATTGCAAGTTATTAGTTGACCTTTGCCTCTTGAGGATTCTGAAACCAAAGGCAGAGTATGCTTCCCTGTATAGTACGTGGGAGGTTGACTATGAAGTCTGCAGCAGGTGAACTGAAGGGCTTAGTGAAGTCACAGAATGCTGCAGTGACCAGCAGCAGATTGGAAGTTGGATAGGGAGATTTTCCTACCGTGGATGATGTGAAAACATGAGAAAATCAAACAAGCTTCATTAGAGGTATTTTATAAGCCTCCTCTGTGTTCCTTTATTTTATTTTTTTATTATTGTGTGTGTGTGTGTGTGTTCATTTATAAAAGGAGAAACAAGTCTATTCTGGAGATATAGGAGGTCATTTCTTTCTGGCCATTTGCAGTCCTTCAGAGATGGACTCTGAAGCTCAGTATTAACACCATTCCTTTCATAACAATAGCCCTGCTGCTTGGGCAGCAGCATTCAGGAAAGCACCCTTTGCCAGGTTCCTGTGTCTCCATGTAGGAAGGCCCATCTGCTCCTGACATAATGTAAGTGCCTAGCTAGAGACAAGACGCACAGACGGTGCCAGGAAAAAGACATGGAGTAATTGACATAATGAGTAACCAAGTGAGAGTAGATCCCTCACCAAAGTCTAACCACACTAGCTTACTTTACCACAACAGATTTATTTTAGGTATACTCAAGACCATGTTAAGCACGGTGGGTTATACAAACGCATAGAAGACACTGCCATGCCTTTGATGAATCTGAAACTACACAGGGCATCTTCTGAATAAACTCTTAAATAAATTTATAGGAGATAAGGAAATTGAATAAATGAAGAAAACTTCTATAGCTGAATATATAGATTTATACTGAAGAGATTCAGACTAGGAGAAGATCATGGTAAACAGAGTTGGGGCAAGATTTTTGAAAAAAAAGTAATTGAGCTTTATGGCTTTATTTTCATCATGGTGAGACTTAGGGGTAAAGGTGAGAAGTAGAAAAAGGAGCGATAGTAGAACGAACAAGTTCTGTGGGTGATGTGGTTGGACAGGTTGGGTGAGGATAGTTGATGGGGCAGGGGCGCTTGGTGACAAGCTAAGGAATCTAGACTTGTTTCCACGGACCATCAGTAACTATTCTGATACTTCAGCATTAAAGTGCAGCTTTAAGAACTTTCATCCAGCCTTGGTTAACAGAAGATACTAGAATGGAAGACATACAGATGGGAAGATAATCTAAGTTTATTGCTATAGGAATCCAGATGTGAATATGGGAATGGGGCTAAGTGGGAATAGAAAAGACAGGTTGAATCTAAAAGACTCTGAGGAGAAATTTCCAATGGACTTTGGTGATCAAGGGAATGCTTGCAAAGGACTGAATGTTTCACAGAGTGTATATATATATATATTTGTATCTCCCATATCAAATCAATGACCCTGGGATGTAGGGAAAGGCAAGCGTAGTGAAAACTAAAGCTAAGGTTGGGTAAGTATCTTCTCCAGGGTAAAACATGCCTCCTCCTCATCCGAAAGAGAGAAGGATGTTCTGAGAATCCTGAGTGTTTTTCCTATTGACTAGTTTATCTTGCCCTTATAGTCTTCTCTGAAATCCTCCTGAATTAATGTTTATTGTAATCTAATTCCTGACCTCCGTGATACTGATATTTCCCCTTACACTAACATACTCCCCCCATCTTGTTGGAACAGGTGACATGGCTACCAGCACTCTTCTCTGTTCTTCTTCCTTCTGACCGAACACTACAGCCACAGGAGGCAGCAGTGAGATGTGGCTCTTGGTCACTCCTCTTCGGGTGGGCATCTACAATTTACTTCCCACAAGAGCTTACCCTTGATGGTTCTGGCAAAATGTTTGTGAGTCTTTTATTGCATGGAATTGTTGTGTTCACCTAGGTTTTGTGCCAGACTGGTTTAAATGATTCGTCATAAATTCTGAAACTCTTTTAGGTATTTGCCAACCTTTACTGCATGTCTTATTTCCCCTCCCCAGCATTTATCTTCCCACAAGATACAAATGAGTCAACATAATCTTCATCAAAAAGCATTATGCTCTTATTGCCCTTCAGTATCTGTAGAAGGAAGTATGATAAATTAAGCAGTGGCTTATATTTTTTAAAAAATAATAGTTCCAACTACTTGGAAGGCTGAAGTGGGAGGATCACTGGAGCCCAGGAGCTCCAGACTAAGTTGGATAACATAGCAAGACCTTGTCTCAAAACAAAACAAAACAAAACAAAATAACCAAACCAAAAAACTCCAAAACAACAAAAAAAAAATGAAGCTTTCTGTTTTCTTCTGTAGTTTGTTTTTTGCTTGCTTGAGTGGTCTGCTCAGGAAATGGCCTTGTAGCTAAGTGGGTTTTGGAGGTTTGGTTATTTCACAGTGTCTCTATGCCTTTTGGGTTTACAGTATAATAGAATCTTAAGAATTGCTGCTTGCTTTTTAAAAAAGTGTGAAGTTCTGCCAAGACATTATTTACAGATCCTTAGATTCTGAGGAAAAGGACTATGGAGGCATCTGAGCAAATTTTTTTTTTCTTATCTCCTATTTATTTCTATCTTCTCCCTCCTTAAGAAGAAACAAGAAAGTAAGAGATTGTTTTGAAATATACACTTGAGAAAAATAGATTTAAATTTTATTAGTAGGTTTGCCTAATTAATTAATAAAAATTAATAAAGTTCTCATTTTGTTGTAATTGAGGACATTCTAAGGGTACAGAGAAATTATAAAATTATATTATCTTATATGTCCAAATATATAAAATCATCTTCCTTTTAGGATTATGCTTTGCTACTGTGCAATTAAGCAAATTAGTTTGGAATGTTTTTATTTGCATTTTCTTTCCCAAAGGTACCTAAGGAATGTTTTAATTTTTATTAGTAATTACATCTATATCTTTAGTTTTCAGGTCTTTATTAACTGGCTGAGGATTTTTTTTACCATAGTCTGGCTTTCTCACTGTTGTACGCCCATCTCCTTATATAATGCTTAGAATATAGTGAGTACTCAATAAATTTGTTGAACAACTTAATGGGTTTTTTAATGTTTATTTCTAGTTTTTTAAATGGTATAATAATTTTAAAAAGCGAACTTTATCCTATCACATTTACATAGTTGATTCTTTTTTGCATCTTTTAGTCTTTATGTACATACTTTTACATAGTTTTAGTTATTATAAACTTGAAATTTTGTATTTTTATAAATTAAAGCTTTCCCATATTTTATGTTTTAAAATAGCCAAAGTAAACACCACATTACTTAGAGCAAAAAGAAATTCTCTCATAATTCTAGATGGGGATAATTTGAGAAATATACTATTCCCAAAAATATTGCTGAAAAATTAGGACTTATTTTAATTTACGTGTACTGGGATTGAGTTCCTTTATTTGAAATATTGTCTCTAATTTGCCTACAACCAAGATATCTCAATGATCTTTCTTTTTGCAGTATTTAGTAAGAGCATGCAGTATATTTAATGTTCAGAATAAACAGTGTTCAGAATCATTATTTCCTGAAGGAAGTTTGAATAATTTTGCAAAACAGAAAGGATTGCTAATATCTTAAATAGAGGAAGTCTGAACAACACATTTCCCAGTTTTCTTCAGGATCAAGACTAATCTTGTTAACATTTGTTGAACTCCTGCCTTCAATAAAGATGATACACTGATTTTGGGATGTTCTCACACTGAATTAGGCACTTGGGTAGACATGTATCCATTGAGAGGTTATGCAAGGTGAGATGTGGAAGGTTTTTCTAGAAGAGCTGCCTTTCAGGGCCAAAATGCCACATGAACAGCATAGCTTCCTGAAACAAATTTCTTTCCTAAGACATTGGTTGCAGAGTAGAAATGTGTTCTTTAGAAACAGTTCTTCAGGCTTTGTGCCCTGAGAGTTACAATGTTGTTAGCAAGGTGGTTGATTTTACTTTCTTTTTGTTTCTTCACAATTTACCCACATTGCAGATGCAGGATATTGTGCTAACTGCCTGGTCAGGTGCTCCTTGTGGGGGCTACTTGCTCTGGATCCTTTATAGACCAATAATCTCAGTCTTTATATCCAGAATCCAAGTAAAGCTTTAAAGGCTACTGGAAGGGTTGAAGAGGTGCTAAAATCAACACTTTCCTTAATGGAGGTTAGCACTTCCACAGTCCTGGGAGAGACACAAACTGTCAGAAGCATCTGACTTGGCTTCATTTAAAAAAGAGTTGCCGGGCGCAGTGGCTCAAGCCTGTAATCCCAGCACTTTGGGAGGCCGAGGCGGGTGGATCACGAGATCAAGAGATCGAGACCATCCTGGTCAACATGGTGAAACCCCGTCTCTACTAAAAATACAAAAAATTAGCTGAGCATGGTGGCGCGTGCCTGTAATCCCAGCTACTCAGGAGGCTGAGGCAGAAGAATTGCCTGAACCCAGGAGGTGGAGGTTGCGGTGAGCCGAGATCGCGCCATTGCACTCCAGCCTGGGTAACAAGAGTGAAACTCCGTCTCAAAAAATAAATAAATAAATAAATAAAAATAAAAAAAGAGAGTTTGAGGTCAATATAGCGGACTTTAAAGTTCTGAATGCACCTTCTGTGATGAACAGAAGTTTCTCATTGATCACACTGACAAGCAACCTTTCTGTGAACACTCCGGGTAGAAGACATGTAACTCTAAATAGTGTCTGTCTGTCTTCTTTTCTGGGCCCAACTAAACTTTGCAGAGTTCATATGGGACAGTGGGACAGAAGGAAACAGAAGGTGTCAACTGGGCCCTTGTGCTCACTAGGAAAATGGGGAGAGGTAGAACTCATGCAGGAGACCTGTAATTCTGCTCTTTCTCTGGGAGACAAGAAGGTGAGTTTTGCATATGGGTGATGGAATGGAACAATCTCAGAGTTAAGTCGACCACACTTTATGTTCCAATCAGCTTCTTGTTTGTTAAAAATTTGAATTGTAACCAGGTTCCTTTGCTGAGAAGGAAGGCGCTAGGGCCCTGGAGTGAGATGATGGCTGTGTTCTGTGACCACAGAAGCTGGTTACGTACTAATTTCCTCTAGGGCTTGTGATGAAGTCAGTAAACCACAGCCTTCAGCATGCTCTGCTCAGGCTGCAGCAGTGGCTTTTTGGAGGTGTCTCGGCCATGACACACATTTGATATGCCCAACCTCAACCTACACATAGACTGTTTCTCTTGCTCTGCAGCATGGACCAAAGAGAAATTCTGCAGAAGTTCCTGGATGAGGCCCAAAACAAGAAAATTAACAAAGAGGAGTTTGCAAATGAATTTATGGTGAGTCCTGTGTGTGACCCTCTCAGGGTAGTTACATACACTATTTAACTGACTATGGTGTTCCAATTTTCTGTTCCTTTTGTTTTTTTCCTTCAACTCATGTTCACCGTGAGGTGGTCCAATTTTCTCAGACCAAATTGCTCTTGGGATAAAGTACATATCAGACCTTGGAGGGGAAGACAGAGAAAAAGGCAACCTAAAGTTTGACTTCTCTGAGTAGTTTGCATGTATTTTAAGTATTCTCTCAAAATTACTGGTTTTGATATTCTGTTTGCTAGTTCTTTGGAGTTTGGTTAGGAATCCTACAGAAGACATATACAACTCCAGATGTAAAAACACTAATATTAATTGAACATCCATATTTCCCCAGGTATCTGAATTGTGGTTTATGTTTCATATTACTAATTTTTTTTTAAGAGATAAGGTCTTACTCCCAGGCTGGAGTGCAGCAGTGCAACCATAGCTCACTATCGCCTTGAACTCCTGGGCTCAAGTGAGTCTCCTGCCTCAGCCTCCTGAGTAGCTGGCGCCACAGGTGTGTACCACCACGCCTGGCTAATGAATTTTTTTTTTTTTTTGTAGCGACGAGCCTTTTGCTTTGTTGCCCAGGCCTGTCTCTAACTCCTGGCTTCAAGCTATTCTCCATCTCACCTCCCAAAGTGCTAGGATTACAGGCATGAACCACTGTGTCTGGCTTTTTTCTTTTCTTTTGTGTATGAAAAAGATATTAGAACATGTGTTTTTTCAATAACAGGGCTTTCTTAACTTCTTTTGCTTGGAGACGTAGAATGGCTAGGATGGGGAGTAGAGACAAGTGTAGGTCATGGAGAGAAACATGAGTACAAAGTAGCTTCATGTTGGGTGGATTAGATTACCTAGAAGAACAATGAATCTCCTTTGAGGGAATGTGATTATTGATGTAATGGCAGCTGCGTAGGCCTCATTCACCCTACTAGCTGGCATATCAGATAACGCAGGTGTCTAAGTATCTACCATGTACTTTGAATACTTCCAGCTGGTGTTTCTGAGATATAAGAATTTTAAACCTTAGTTCTTCAGTTGTGAAAAAAATGGAGGGAAGAGGGGGAATTGAAGTACAAACCCAAAATTAAATCATGATTTTTTTCACCAAGCAAATTATCAAGTATTTAACATGTTCTTTAATCTGTTTTCTAACTTATAAAATGGGGATAATAATTGTCCTACCTATCCTCACAGGATCATTGTGATGATTAAATATTAAAAACAATCACTAAATGTAGTCATTTATTGAGTACTATTTATTGAGCACTTAGTATGTACCCAGTTCTAAGGACTAAAAATAACAGCAGTGAACAAAAAGAACAAAAACCTTTGCCTCCTGGAGCTAACATTAGGGTACCAGATAGTAGATGTGAAAACTCTGAAAGTCTTGAGTAATTAAATGTTATTGAGTGATTAGATATTATGCTAGGAACTCCTATATTAGCTTAACGTGGATAATATTGTGGTACTTGAAAAATATGCTCTCACTGCCACTGGCCAACCAGTCTCAGCCCCTATTGGCCAGGTGAGGTGGTTTGCACCTGTAATTCCAGCACTTTGGGAGGCTGAGGTGAGCAGATGGCTTGAGTCTAAGAGTTACAGACCAGCCTGGGCAACATAATGAAACTCCTTCTCTACTAAGTAGGTAAGGAGGTAAATAGGAAGTTCTAGCACATATATATACATGTGTCTGCCCCTGGACTATAATTCCTAAGCCAAAGTAACCCAAGGCATTTATGTAAAAAGTGAGCTGAGGGGTAGTGCCAGCCTCTGTTTTATTTTGGTTGTGTTTTTAAAAATAATGTAGACTGGCCAGGTGCGGTGGCTCACGCCTGTAATCCCAACATTTTGGGAGGCTGAGGTGGGTGGATCACCTGTGGTCAGGAGTTCAAGACCAGCCTGGCCAACATAGTGAAACCCTGTCTCTACTAAAGATATAAAAATTAGCTGGCCATAGTGGCGGGTGCCTGTAATCCCGGCTACTTGAGAGGCTGAGGCAGGAGAATTGCTTGAACTCGGGAGGCAGAGATTGCAGTGAGCCGAGATCGCACCATTGCACTCCAGCCTGAGTGACAAGAGCAAAACTCCGTCTCAAAAATAATAACAATAATGATAGTAGCATAATAATAATATATGATATAATTATAATATAATTTACATATTATAGTTATATGTTATATAATTATAATAGCATAATAATGATAAAATAATAGTAATGATAATGTAGTAATACAACTATGTCCCTAATGTTTCACCTTTTTTTAGCTAAAATCATTATAATTTCTCACCAAAATACAGCAGCTACTTCCTAACTGGTTTCCCTGCCTCTAGCCTTGCCCCAACTTCAATCAATTTTCAGTTCAACACCCAGGTGACCTTTTAATCATATAAATCTGGTCTTTTTTTTTTTTTTGAAACAGAGTTTTGCTCTTGTCACCCAGGATGAAATGCAATGATGTGGTCTTGGCTCACTGCAGCCTCTACCTTCCTGGTTCAAGCAGTTCTGCCTCAGCCTCCCAAGTAGCTGGGATTACAGACATGAGCCACCACGCCGGCTAATTCTGTATTTTTAGTAGAGATAAGGTTTCACCATGTTGGCCAGGCTGGTCTCAAACTCCTGATCTCAGGTAATCCACCTGCCTCAGCTCCCAAAGTTCTAGGATTATAGGCGTGAGCCACCACGCCCAGACAAATCTGTTCATTTTTCTCCTGCTTAAAAACTTGTTATATATTTTTTTAGCTGCTTAATATTGTGCAATATAATACACATTTAGAAAAGTACAGAAAAGATCTAAGTGTAATTATAAAGCAAACATTAGCAGTGCAACCACCACCCAAGTCAAGAAACTGTGGGACCCCTGAAGACCCCTGCCCCATCAGGTCCCCTACCCCCATCCCACCCTGTCCTGTCCTACCCTGCCCAAGGCATAATCACTATCCTGACTTTTATATTAATCACTTCCTTGCTTTTCTGGCTCCTGATTTTAAGGACCTTGTTTTTTGGTGGTGATTAAGTGTAACCTCACTGTTCACTGACTCATGTCCTCCAGTGGAAAATAGAGTCTTCCTCTCAGCTCCATCTAAAGGTTTCAGAAGAGACACCCAGAAAGAAAGCTTTGGGGGAGTAGAGGAGTGGTGAATGAGGCTAGGTTGCTTGCTTGGACAAGGTAAATACTGCCACTAAATTGGAGTGCTTTGATCTGGTCATGTTCCACGTCCCATCCTAAGCCCTTAATGTATTCTCCCAGGATTTGATGTTTCCAAGGTTTGAGGACTGATTCTGTGGCACAAGGCCACTGTTCACTTAACTGATGGTACCTTTAGGGGAATTATCAAAAGGCATCTCTATTTCCACGTAGATTCCCTGTGCATCCTAACCCCTTTACCCTCTCCCAGGTTCACGGTTCAGATTTCAGTCTTCACTTCCTCCGTGGCCAGATATCTTTGTACAGAGCACAATATAGATGGCCCTCTGTATCCCCAGGTTCCATATCCTGTATTCAACCAACGGTGGGTCAAAAATATTTGAAAAAAATTCCAAAATAATACAACAACAAAAAATAAAAAATATAAAACATAATTTACCTAGCATTTTCATTGTATTTGGTATTATAAGTAATCTAGAGATGATTTAAAATATACAAGAGGATGTGGATAGTATGTGTAAATACTATGCCATTTTATATGAGGGACTTGAGCATCCACAGATTTTGGTATCTTGAAAGGGGTGGTCCTGGAACTAGTCCCCCGCAGATACTGAGAGAGGACTGTATTCATAATTGGATGTGTTATGTCAGCTAAAGCCAATGGCCATGCTGTTTAGGTCTTTTCCCTGTGCCAGGACTAAATTCAATAACTTTTCTGTAGTTGAAGCTACTACTGACCACCCATCTAAGGTTTTCATACATTCATATAAGCATTTATTGAGGGCTTATTGTATACAAAGTAATACCCTAGATGCTATGAATGTAATGCAATGCTCCATGCTTTAGTGGAACTTGTTTTCTAACACAATATATATGTCTTAGAGAGGCAGACATTAAACAACTAATTACTATATTAAATATTTAATATAATTGTGATAGTCTGAGTGGGGCGGTCAAGGAAACATCAACATTCATTATCTTATTTACTACTGCTTAAGAAAATCTATGAAATAGCTACAACCATGATTACTGACCTACAAATGAGGAACCTGAAGCTGTGAGAAGTTAAATAATTGGCCTAACTTCACTTCGCTGTTAAGCCTTAGAGATGAAATTTAACTCAGATCTGTCTTATTTGAGAGCTGTGAAATTCATTCTCATGCATGAGTGTTCTACTTCATCCAATGATACTGAGTCTCTCGAAGGACCTAGTCTTAGGGTAAGTGCATAGTATAGTTTCTTTCTTTCTTTTTTTCTTTAGTTAGTATAGTTTCTACACAGCAGAAACGGCAGGATGCAACGATACTGTTGAAAAATTTAAAGGTACTTTCAAACATTCCTTATTATTGCTATTCTTATAAAACAATATTATTGAAAGCTAAAAGAAAGTAAATTCACCATAGTACCAACATTCTAACAATCAAAGCTTGTTTTGTGGATCTTGGCCAGGTGAGGTGGCTTGCACCTGTAATCCCAGCACTTTGGGAGGCTGAGGCAGGCAGATGGCGTGAGTACAGGGGTTAGAAACCAGCCTGGGTAACATAGTGAAACCCCGTCTCTACTAAAACTAAAAAATTAGCCAGATGTGGTGGCACATGCCTGTAGTCTCAGCTACCTGGGAGGCTGAAGTGGGAGGATCACTTGACCCCAGGGGGCGGAGGTTGTAGTGACCTGAGATTGCACCACTGCACTTCAGCCAGGGTGACAGAGTGGGACCCAGTCATACACTTACACAAAAACCAACAATAGCTTTTTTTAATGGACCTTCTAGTTCTTGTCCATTTATATAATTTTTTATGTTATTGTAATTATAGCATAGATACAATTTTG